CAAGGCCCTTCAGTGCTAAGCACAATCTTCGGTACAAGCACGTCAGCAGCTTAAGCAAGTTGAGAAAAGGATTTCCTCCACTCAGGACGATCTTTGGCCAAACAGGAACGGCTGTGGAAGCAGTAAACGCGCTGTGGATGCAATATGCCCCACGTTTCAGAGGATCTTGCCACCAAGCGACCTTCCAAACTTTGTCGTCTCTCCGCCGGGATTAACCCACATCACTTTTACCGCAGGGGCATCATTGCAAAAGCTTGCATCTTTATACAAACACAGTTCGCCGGGTGTCGATACCATTCGTCCAGAGGCACTGGAAGCAGTAGCAACCCAACTGACAGGACCTTTAGATCAGTTTTCCCAGCGCTGCTTGGACTGGAACTAAGTTCCCGCTATGTTGAAGCTTAGAATAATAAGCCCGATTCACAAAGGTGGAAGCAGAACTGAGCCCTAAAACTACCGCACAATGTCCCTTCTCCCTGTATTATTCAACGTCATGGAATCCATGTTTGTTGATGCACTGGTGTGTTTTCTGGAAAACTGTAACATCCTCACGCCTGAGCAGCACGGCTTCCGTCGAAAGCGGTCATGCACGACGAATTTACTAACCGCACACAGTGGTTGGACGGAGTCAGCTGAAGCCGGAGAAGGCACTGATGTGATTTACCTGCGTTTTTTGAAGGCTTTCGATTGTCTAGACCATCGGACACTACTCTTTAAGCTCCAGCATTAAGGGATCGGTGACCCCACCTTTAAGCTGGATTGTCAGCTTTCTACTTCAACGGCGAATAGTGGTCAGAGTTCGGAGCACTTTATTGGACCTCATACAAGTCGAGTGTGGTGTGCCTCAAGGCTCAGTTCTAGGTCCACGTTTGTTTTTGGTGTTTATTAATGACCTTGCACAGCGAATCGCTTCAAACCTCCTAATGTTTGCCTACGATATCAATATTTGGCGCAGGATACAGGCGAACGCCGACCAGCATCTGCTTCAGGTTGACCTAGATACGGTATATCAATGGTCAACGCAAAATTGACTGCATTTCAACGTGTGTAAATGCAAGGTACTTTTCATCCGAGATCAGAGCAGCCACTCATACCGGCTCGAAACGAATACACTACAACAGTTAACTGTCGAAGGTGACTTGGTTTCCTGGTCCAAGATGACTTGGATTGCTCCAGGCAATCCGAAAATGCCTCGAAGACTGGAAACCAATACGTCGGGTTGTTGCGATGGCCGTTTGGACAAATAAACAACTCCATATTTCGGCACATGCTCAGTGCGTATGTTCACCCCTACGTCGAATAGGCAATTCAAGTCTGGCATCCATGGCTGATACACGACATTAATACACTGGAGCAGCCACAACCTCGGGCATCTGAGAACGTAATTGGAATGCGCAATCTTTTATACCAGGAGAGGTTGTAACGATTGGGAGCATTCAGTGGAAGCTATCGCAGACTATGAGGGGACCTGATTATGGCATAGTTGATTCTGCAAGACCCACATCATGTCTTCCGCCCTTTACTGCGTCACAGCACCAATACAACCCTGAGGGGCCACTCATTGAAACTCGCTGTACAGTGTAGCTGCCTGGAGTGTCGCAGAAATGTTTTTCCATTCTATTCTGTTACCTGTGGAATGCTCTCTCAGAATCGGTCGTCTCTGCACCGACATTAACAGTATTTAAAAGATGGTTGAATGCGCACTCATCCACTTACACTTTGTCACTTACCGCTACGTCTCCACCCTACATTGTGGTCTACTATGGATTTATTTAATGTCATTTGTTGGCGCTGTGAATCTAAGCGGATTGCAGGACTACGGAGGAGCAGACGATAAGTCCTTACTTTTTTATTTGAAGTATGAACTGTTTTACTTTTGTTATTATTATTGTCATTATAGCAATTATTTCGTTATCCCCACTAACCTTCCAACGGGAATGGTAAACCAACCGGTATAAATGCATTCTCCACTGTTTATCTCGACCGCACCGTACCTCATCCTCCAGGGACCGCCTGCCGCGCCTAAATTCCGCAAAGCACTCAACCACGGTGGTTCTTAGAGGCGCATCATCACCAAACGTAGTGCGTAATTGCTCAAACCTCTGGTGCTGTTTTAAACCATATTTGTAGTGATAGCAAATTCTCGCCATCTAGTGACATCGACTGAGTTCCAAATTTACAGTCAGAGTATAGCGACCCTTATAACTTGTGAAGTGTACTAAACTGTTGGTATAAGGTTCTGCGGGTCGATATCACTGAACAATGTTCAGAATGGATTACAGTTCAAATTTTTGTTGTCATATCATCTGCATCTAATCTGTGCACTGCGTATCCGGAAACTTATTGCTCTGTCTTCCCATGTCTTTTTGCGCTGTAGTTTGTGAACACAGCTCAGGTGAGTATCGAACTGTTCAAAGGAATAGGAACGCATGTTTTCACCCTGTTTTGTTTGTTGCATTTTAAGAAAGGTAATGTGCTGAAGTTGAACATCATAAAGTTAGGCTGTCATTCATTATATCGCGTTCTGTATTGGCATTTACACTCATTCCCTCCATCGTGGTTGTCAAACATTCTTCAGTCCACTGGAACACGGTTTTCTCTTCCATATGCCCACACATTTGCTCAGCTCTCTCTTGACGATCAGAATACCCTGAGCCTCGAGTAGATGGATTAGGGTTCGATTCACGGCGGCAAGCGTAGCCACGCGCACTTATGATTCTAGCGCATACTTAAGTCCCATTTTCCAAATAATGCTGCATCTATCCTCCTGATTACCGCCGTTCATTCAAAGACTGTGGGCCGCATAATATCTTACTGGTAGGCGGCATCCGACTCCGGATTTGCCTGTCACTGCCGCCTCCACCAGGACAGCCACAAGACACCTACACCAACAGGGGGACCATGGGTGGCTTGCGCTGCACCACACATAGCTCCATCCACACGCCCCATATCCAGTGTAAACCCGATGAGGTTAAACCTAGAGGCATGTGGATGGGAGCCACGTTTCATCCACGGGGCCGCCACACCCTCTTAACATACCCATCAGCGGCATTCCTGTCTACCATTGTAGTGAATCACGTGTACCAGACGTACACAATGTGTTGGCTGGGCATCGGATGGAACCACTGTTTGTGCCTAACACGGGCACGAGGACCGTGCACCCCGTCTCCCCCAGCAACGATTCACAGTCTCCTGGAGGCAGTATTCGAGCTGAAGGGTGTTAGACAGGTAGGCACCTTGTCAACATCCATATCAAACACAGCCACACGGGAATAACAAACAGCCAACGTAGAGTTAGAAGGAAAAAACCATGCAAAGTTGACACACGCAATATGGAGCGGAATAACAGAACTGAGCAAATCAAATAAAGTGGAATACTTTGTGTCCAGATTAAGAAGATCTACTTTCGGTGTACATCGGTGTGGTCACACTGTGGTGCAGAAGCACCATGGATGCACCATAAACCACGGCATGCGACACAATGTCTTACTATCCGCATCAGTTGATTGCGCTGTGACCCGCTGCGGTACCAGCCCAAGGAACAATTTGTTGGTAAAATCCAAAGCCCGGATTCACTTGAAAACAACCGATAAAACAGTTGACCTAACGAACGCGTGGGCATGATGAACAGACGATTTTTCTTTATTCGCAAGCTTTTTGCCCTGGGATTAACGCGTTTTTGTGACGGGTTTGGTTGGCGTGAGACTTTCCGTGATTCTTAAGACCGATCACCTTTTCCGAGGACTCTGTAACCGGTTGCATGAACACACACTACCCCAGGATGAGTTTTTGTCGTTTCTATATCTTATCCTGCGTCTTAGAACAACATTCGTTCAAATTCATCCCCTAACAGTTCTCTTAAGGCTACCCACATCAAACATCTCTGAATCAATCTCTCGTCTAACACTAATTCGGCTTGAGGATTAACAGCAGCATGACAAGGACTAAATTCAACAAACAATTCGGTTTTTGCTCTGTATATTTTACTATCTCTGCAGATGACAGATTGTCACATTCACGTGGTATGTTGCTGCAGATGATTGTTTATGTCCCCATGCCTCCGTAAAGAGAAACCGCCCGCTCCCAGTCCGGTGCACTTTAGTTCACACCGCAAACCAAACGTAAAACGTTACATTTGAAGCGCAGGTGTCTCCCACCTGAGTGATGCTTGCCAATAGCATTATCCTGTATGTGGAATCGATCTCATTTTACGGTCAATAATTTGGCAAAAGCCACAGGATATACAGTATCCACGGGGCTAGTCGATCCTGTTTGCATTAAGCTTAGAGCTGTATTCCAGCCCGGTCTCAATATTCTAGCTTCCCCCTAGCTTCCCTCCCCCCTGATAATATTAAATGAATAATCTATGCTCTCACATCTTAATCACCGTGTCCACATACGTTGAGAGAATTGCAAAGGAAATTGCCCAATGGTAACTCGGCGGTATGTCTGTCATTATAAGCAGTGCTACGGTCCCAAAACAATTCATTTGGCCTGTATAATGTAGAACCATTTTCGAAACCTGCGATGCCACAGAATTAGCCTCATGCTATTGTATCTTTGTAGCCACATCGATTTTCCTCCATTCTAGGAAGCTAGTAATTCGTTGTACAAACATCACTTTAGCGAAGCACATCTTAAAAACCAAGTAGGAGCCCTAAATATTGATTAGGTGGTACTTAACTCTTTCACGTAGGTTTTCTGCCTTTCTCCTTCAACTGTCCCATTGTTAGCTTTAGTTATATCGGCTGCGAAATCTACTGTGCGAGCTTAGTTGCTGAATTGTCCTCTTGTAGTGATGAGTCCTAGGTTTCGGAGCTCTATTTCCTGCCTGGATCCTCATCAAACATTTTGCATGACAATCTATTTTCTGGATTGGGTTACCGAGAGTCCTACTGCTCAAGTAATGATAACGAGTCATTTTGTCAAGCGTGGTATTCAGTCGCATGCGTATCTGGGTGTCAATATTTTGTGTATATGACGGAATTTTCAAAACTCACCAGTTGCGAGAGGCTTTGTTTGTAGTTGTTCGATTTTACCGTTGTTCTCACTGAAGTTGGCAGTCTTAGGGTTCGCTAGCGGAGTTTTCAGTGAGTTGTCCACGCTTGCAAGGGATATGGTCATGTTATTCCGAAGAGTCTTCGATCTTCGCTGCCTGAAAATGGATTTTGTTCGAAAAGCGATTATATATATATGAACAGGTAAAACACCACGTAGAACGAAAAATTTCAGGGATGCTAATCTATGGCCTTGAAACGGACACGCAACTGAATGAATCTTTCATTTGCCTTCGATAATGTGATTTTGCTGAGGTATTCATTTTCGCCGCAAAGAAGCAACCAGGGTCATATGCCATGGCAAGGCAATAAACCCAACCATTTTTCTGTGAGATAACCCGGTGACTGTTTCCCCATTTACACTATGTACAATTTACAGAAGTCGCTCAGTCGTATGAGTAGAACTGGTAGAACCCTTCGTGAGGATAATTTTCGATAGGTGATGATCAAGTATGCCATAACAATCTCCATCAGTTTGCGTACCATGGTTCTCTGACTACCCAACACGTCGTGGTCTGTCCTGGATATTTTCTGCTGCCACCTCTATGGCATACAAGCATCCGGAACCGGATGCGGCGAATCATCGTATTACCTTGGCTACACAACCCGTGAATTGGGGCCACGTAGTACTGTTGGTTCCGTGTGTCGTCATCTGCCACCAAAATCTGTCGCCAAATTATGCTTTCTCTTCATTGCATCGAGAATGGAGTCACTAGACCTCTTCTCAATTCGTTGCATTGTTCCCCCAATCGTTTGCATCGGTGACACTTGAAGCTTCATCGTGCTCGTCATGTCACTTTGCACGTGTGCACTCGTATGAGTCATACTCATGGACTGTGTTTGCAACATGAGATCACTTGATCGCCTTGCCACCAACCTTTTTATCCAACTGCGACGTTTACGTTCAATGTGTGCAGCATGCTTCCAGTCCCCTCCCACCTCCACGTGCCTTTTCGTGACATTCGGAGCAGAGCAAGCTGTTGCACTAACTGCACTGATCCACTCAACTTGGTGTGCCTATGGAGTTAACTTCACCGCTATGATAGTCACCGTTCTGTGACTGTTCCCGTGGAGGTCACAGTGACAGGCAAATCCGGATACGGACATCGCCAAATCATGATAGTCACCGTACCAGTTCAGTCGGTTGCAAGGCCGTCACGTGATCTTACTTCGCGAACACAGTCCGAGCATGGCTCATACGACTGCACACGTACAATATGTCACATGACACAGCTTCAAGTGTCACCAATGCAAACATTTGGGGGAACGATGCTACGAATTGAGGAAAGGTGTAGTAACGTCTGCCAGATCGCCCTCAGCTTCACATTTCGTGTTGTTTGACGTATCCATTTAAGAAGTTCCACTAAACAGTGGTCATTACATGCGAACGGAATATCCACAAGGTAACAAGGCTCTCGTTTCGTCCCCCTCACCGTAGCTTTTTCTTCGCCTTCTGCCTGTTTGCCCATTGTGCATGTTACCGTCGCTTGATTCTACGAATGGACAGAATAGCAATTTTGAGCAAATTGTCAGATCACTGAGACTGTTATTTCGATGCTGCACCAATCTCAAATGGATTTTGGCTGAGATTATAGTGCCCACTCGTATCAAACATTATTTTAAAAATATGTGAAAATCCTCATCTATGACATTAATCTGTTCTGCAGCCTGATAGTTTAATATGCATCAATTTCATCGATCAAGCGAAATTGCAATACAACTTACATTTAGCGATCAGCCTGCGGCTTATTGGTTACCACCTAACTAGCGCGTATCTTGTTATCTCTTAAGCCTGCCATTCAACCAGTAACTGCCAGATTTGTTCAGCGATGTTATTTCTACTCAGTATCTTAAGTTTCTTCGTTTCCTGGAACTACTTTGTAAGACTCACTGCTACAACTGCGGCAAACATATGTGTTACAACCAAATATCTATCCACCCTGAATTCTACGAGCATCTTCTCCACTCGAATTTCCAGTAAGATAGTTTACATGCGGTACTTGTTCAGATGAAACCTTTATTACTGGCCGATACCACCATTTTTCGGGTACAATATCCACAGCTAGTTCATGCCTTTCTCGGATTGTTAGCCTTCCAAAACTTTTGGTGGCAATGTGCTGAGGTGGGTATGAAGCTGGCTGTTTTAACAAACCTGACATAAACCCCAGCTACTTGTTTGTCACTGTTAGGTACTGCGTTGTCCAGAAGTCAACTGAAATTTTCTAGATTCGATTCCAGTTTTCTGGAAGTTTCTCGAAGATTCTTTGATCCAGTATGTAAGAAGACGGCCTGGAGCAGTGACCTTACATTGTTAAATTATTCTGCACTTTAGCAATGGTTGCGGTATTAGTACAGGATCAACATGCTGTTCGCACATGCTTGTTGTACGAATTAATGTAAGGGTGCAAAACGGTTGTGGCTTGTCGAAACCTGTGTGGGCAAGGATGCTCAAGCATATGGTATGGAGCATCATGTTTCCATTGGTTGAAAATCAAACACCGTATGTCAAGAATGCAAGCTAGCAGATTTGAGCAACGACACTCAGGACATTGGAGGAGGACCTGAGCTAAGTTGCACGTGGTCGTCACACATTAGCTTTCCAAAATCCACCTTTCGTCTCTATTTGCGCCAAGCCGGGATTTTCCAAATGCCCCGACAACTGGCACAACGCGAATTAACTGATGGTCAGCTTTCAAACTGTTGTGACATCTCACTTTCATTGCTCACCCGACTATGTAATAGTTGTTCATGTCTGAATGATGTCTTTGCTGGAGCAGTAAAGTGATTACTTCATTTCAATCATAGCTGAACTGCAAGTGACTTTCAGTGCAAGTATTGTCCATACAAGTCCCGAAATAGTGACGATCGATCTGATATGATCACTGTAGCGCCATTTTGTGAGACTTCTTCTTAACAATTCCAAAGTTACTGCCGATTTCTATTGTCAACGATTGCAAATGATGGTCGATAAGCATCGAGAAAAACATTCGAGATCGACTCGAATCCATTTGCTGCATCACAAAGCACTCCCTCATGTGGAAAAGGCGACGCGTCTCACTATTCAAAGCCCCGCGTCGAAGCTTCGATGCAACCAGCACATAGCCCGAATCTGCCCCTACTGATTACCACCTTTTCCGCCCACTACATACATCCAAGGTAAGAAATGCGATGAGAACGACCACTTCAAAAGGTACGTCACCCAACTCGTTCTATGTGTGGTATCGACACCTTACTTGAGCGTTAGAATCACGTCGTCGATAACAATGGATATTGTGTCGAGGATACCATGATGCCAGTTTGAAATATTGGCAGGAAAATAGGCCAGAAATTTCGCTTGATTTCGGGGCAACCCAATAATTTGACGTTATAATCTACACCTAACACATTCCCATTCCCTTCTGAAAACCACAACGAACCATACAGCTCAACTGCCGCTTCTACGGATTATCTGCTGCACTAAATTCGGTCAGTTCTGTTGACTAAATGTTTGATTCTGACCGTTAATTTTGCTACTCTTTGATTCAGCTGGCTCTCAAAACTTGCGATGGGGATAGTTGCACTTAACAAGGTGCAGATATTTACACAAAGGGTAGTGTCTGGTTGGTTGAAACCGAAAGCAAACCAGTCAGTGTTGCTGCATGCGTAGACGCTATTTCCTTTCGCCAGTTTGCTCAGCAGTTCAACTCCATGTTGGCGAAGAATACGCAGTCTAACCTGTATGCTACTTGTTCATGCCCAGGCAGTTTATGATGTTCTTTTACTCTGGTATTTGTAGCGCGGAAGGGACTGTATTGTAATAGGCCATGCAGTGAAAACTTTACGGGTAGTACATTTCCTCGTGTTTTGAACCGATCTAAGGTGACCTTCATGGATTAATTCACAGAGTACTACGAAATGGATATACGGGCTGGGAATGCGATACGTCCGCGCTGTGTTGATCTAAATATCACTAGCTCGAGCAGCGGACCACCCAGGGTTCCAAGACAATTGCCAGCTATTTCGCTATTCTCAGCACATTCTTGCGGTACATTTTCTATGAACGTATTAACATCTGAACCTTTATGATGGTACAATGAATAATGAAGTTATACGAGGTAAGAGGCAATGCTTTACATGTCCCGATGGATCGTTCTGCGGGCTCATTGCAACATAAAAAAGCAGTGGGTTATTTACCTTTCCAAGAGGCACTTAGTGTTTGTTTCACTGTAGTCGTGCGACCCGTGTACTTTCATAGCACAAACATGTAACGGCAAATAAATCCAAAGTATATTCCAGGTGACAAAGTGTTGGTGAGTAATTAAGTCATCCGAACGTCTTTTACATATGGATAAGTGATGGTGCTGAAATGGCTGCTTCCGGAAGAGCATTCCACGGGTGACAAGCGGAAGGAAAAGAAATTCCGGCGGCAATCCAGGCGGATGTACTGTACTGCCAGTTTTAGTGAGTGACCTCTCAAGTTGGTATTACTGCTGAATCGTAGTAAAGAGCGGCACACATGATGTGGATAGTGCAGAATTATGTACGCCATTATCAAGTCACCCCGTAAGCGGGAACATCCGCTGAATACCCCCAATCGTTCCAGCCTCTTCTCGTATGGAAGATGGTGCATTCCAGTAAGGTACGTTGATGCTCAACGTGGGGCTTGAATTGCATATTCTACATGAGGACGAACATACGCACCAAGCATCTGCCGGAAGATAGAGCGAGCTATTCGTCCGAACGCCCGTCGTAACAGGCCCACATATTAGCTACCAGTTCTGAAGGCTTTCGCGGATTTCCTAGCACAACCCAGAGCATCCTAAACCAGTACGCCCAAATCAAGGTCGATGGTAGCTCGTTGCAGCACATGCGTTCCGAGCCTGTAACAGTGCTTGCTCTGGCTACGTATGGAGAGCACCTTGCATTTACTCACAATGAATTGTAGTGAAGTTTGGATGGACTACTGATGTACCGTGTCTAGATCACTCTGAATCAGTTGCAGGTCAATATTCCCCTGAACCTTGCGCAAATCTTGATACCATCGGCAAACGGCGGGAAGTTAGATGTAATTGCCTGCGTGAGGTCATTGATAAATACCAACAACAATCGGGGACCCAGC